ATTATCCAAAACAAACTAGTAAACCAAAATTATTTAATATTAAAAATTTATTAAAATATATATAATTTATATATTATCTATTTCATTATATTTGATTATATACTATATTTTTGTTTAGAGCAAAGCAACCAACTTATACTTTTATGCTCTTTGATAATCAAAATTTCAGTTTTGATATATTTATATTAAGGATTTTATAATTTATTGCTATAGCATTGTATCACTACCTCCTGATCGACCAATTAGAATGCAGAATCAAGTATAACATAAAATCGAAGCAATTATGATTTTTATTAAAAATCGTCTATAGCACAAAATTTTGTCTATAAAACTATTCTCTTGCTCTAACAAAAAAATTCTTCTCAAAATTTTAAATTAAAACCACTTTACTAAAATATCCTATCTTAACCATAACCTAACCCTCACCCTAATCCTAAATTACCAAATTAATTTTATTATTTTGATTTAATATTATACTAGATCTTATAGGATGCAATATATCGTATATGTGAAAAAATAAAAAATTCTATTAAAAATATCAAAAAAGTAGTTTTGGTATTTTTCAGTTGTTATACTTTGTTTTTATATAGTAAGGGAGTGCTATTTATCACCTGATTTTTTAGGGTAGAGGGTAGAGTGTCCAGGATTATGCGATGCGATTGGGTAAATTATGCGGGCGAATTGGGGTCAATTATACGGTAGATGCGAAATAAATTTAAAATTATGCGAAGAAAATAGGCGATTATGTGATTTAACCTTTCAATAATATATAAGCTGCTGTCAATAAAAAAAAAAAAGCAGATTTATTAGAAAAAGGTGTCTTGATTACTATTGACAGCAACCATATAGTTAAGGTGACCGAATTAGGCATTTAAATTGATGAATTATGCATTTTAATTTAATTAAATCGATTATATGAACCTTATCCAAATCTTATTTATTTATTTATTCATTAAAATTTAAAAAATTTAACATTTGGATTGAATTTTCTGACAAAGCATGTCTATTATCTGCCAAAATTCGTTTATAAGCTGAAAAGCTATGCTCTACATCAACTTCCGAAACTGGTAGCCAAATATATACTAATGCGATATTACTAATATTTGGTAACATATCTATTTTCTCATGCCAATATTTATCCAAATCAAAATTTTCACTGAATGTTTCTAACAACCCTGAATAAATTGTCCATTTATTAATAAGTTCATTTGACAGATTTTCTAATTCTTTAATTGCTCTATATAATATAATATCATGGTGGTCAATTTGTGCCTACATATAGCATGGGTCAAAACAATGAATTGCTTTGAAAACTGAAAGCGCGGAATGATTATCAACATGTTTTTTGAATTTGTCATATGCTAGTTGAAATGCTTCTTTAAAAATTATGTCGTATGATGACAAATCATATTGATTTGTTCGACAAAGATCGACCATTTCATTTGATTTGGGGGGGTGCATAGTAGCCCGAACTTAAATGGACACGTATTAGCTCTAATCAGTTAGCGAGAAATGGAGCGACAGGTTTATTCCGAATTTTGACAAACTCAAGATTCCTAACCAATCTATAATAACAATAATATTATTTGGTCAATAATGACAAATAATCAATATTGATATACTAAAAAAAAAAATCCCTTCGTGATTATACCCTAAAAGGCATAATCACGAAGAGATTTTTTTTTGGGGCAAAATTTCTACATTATTACTTACAATTGCGCATTAAAGGTAATAAAATAAAGAGTAAAACGCAAATAAAACAAATTGTCCCTATTTTCAAAAATTTTAACCAACTCTGAAATTGCCATACTGTCATTACTCGCTTCAGATTCCTTAAAATAAAAATCAACTAACAGTGTAAAATAACTACAAATCCAAAAAGCAAAATTAAACCAGGAGTTCCACCTGGTTTTTACAGATAGTGGCAGGAGTGTAGGATCAGAATGGCCATTTAAAGAAAAAAAAGAAACCCATTGTCGTTTTTTAGCTGATGAATATATAAAGGTTGTTTTAATCAAACTAATAGTGGAGTCAAGAAGCTTAAAGTTTTTGTACCCAATCCAGGTCTC